TATTACACGCAGAAACAGAATGAGAGAGAATGAGAGAATGGGAGAGAAAGAGAAACGTTTCAACGGGCAAGGGGTCGTACGGGCCCGCGTAACTAAACTACGCTCGCGTTCAATATCTCGATAGCGTAATAAACACTGCCGGAGCTAAATTGAGAAAATTATATTCCTCTTCCCGGGGTGAGCGCTTTCATATTATCGAAGCTGAAAAGGCGGCTAAGTGTTTGTGTACCCTGAAGATCCCGGGAGCGCTGACAGTGGCACACGGCACCTCCGCCGGAGGTATTCCCTCGGTTAAAGTGGCTGTGCGCGCGCTGAAGAGGATACCCCGGGATAGTGCCGGAGCGCGGGAAATGGAGGGTTGAACTAACAAACCCTCACCCGTTCCCCCTCGGTAAAAACTTTGAATGCCACGAGGTATCCGGAGCCCCGGAAAAGAGAAAAATTACTCGGTCGCAACAAGAAGTAATCGTCTTCGTCCTCGTCGTTATAGTGCGACGTGAGTTAAAAATAGACACTGACACCTTGGAGAATAGTCATCTCTCGGAAAAGTCTGAATAGCGGGACGCAAAGAGATGTAATACAGGGAGGGAGAGGGGGAGGGGGGAGGGACCGGAAGAAACTCGCGGAAAATTGTTTTCTCCGACACGATTCTTAGTAAGAGTAAGCGCGCCCGCGTTGTTTACCGTTCCAAACGCGGTGGATCCCTCGTGCACCCTTTGTCATCGAGGAAGCCTAAGGGGACTTCGAGAGGGGGATGTTCCGCGACCGGAAATTGAACACGACCGTTTACGACTGTGTAATAACTGGCTTCGTACCGGACCACTTAAACAGCAATTGTAGGTCATCTCGACGAGGCACTTGGCACGACACAATACTGCTCTCTCTCTCTCTCTCTCTCTCTCTCTCTTCCTCCCTCTTTCTCTTCATGTAGAGAGCCGAAGCTACTGGTCGAGATTGTTGACAATGAGACAGGAAAGTGGCTCTCGAACGAACTCATTGAGAACTAAACGCCGACGAATAACGATTCGCCCGTGAAACGGAATCGCCCGATGGCCACAACGATACGAACGTGATTAAAAATGTATCGACGTTACATTTAACCTTTAGAGACCCGGGAGACGTTGTGTAACGTCCGGCTCGCACGCCACCCTTTATTTCCTCATTCGAAATTCTCGCGATCAACAGATTTAGTACGGCTCCGGTATGACCGGCGTAATTAACTCTTGCAAAAACTCTTACAGCCATACGGTTTGCGTAATTACGTTATCACCTTAATAAGTCTTCGTCTGGAAAGGTCCGAGGCAAAAAGCGAATAGGATATTGAATTATTTTAAAGTCCCTTCCATCTCGTTAACGCTGTGAGATGAGCGACGTTTCAATGGCCAGGCGGAGTAATTTATCTTCAGTTCTGTATTAATATTACATTCGAAATAAGATCGCGGATTCCTGATTAGATCCTTGACCCAAACTTTAAATTTCATCGCGCATCATTGTAGAAACTGCGACGAACGTCTCGGACAGAGCTTTAATAAGATCGCGTTCTACGTCGGACTAGAACATTGACGTATATGTACGGTTCTAAAAGGTAGCAAGTCAACTGGGAATGCATCGATCGTCATTTCAAGTACTGCACGAGGTCGTTCTACGAGCCGTTCTTGACGCATCGGCCAATCGCGACGACGATCGAAGCGCGTTTCAAATTTTATAGCTCTAATTTCGCGGAAGGTCTGATTGGCTTGAAATGCTTTTCATGTTCAATCTTTCGGTAGAGAGATTTCTTGACTTTGAATCTAAGAACCTCGAGAAAGAAAGAGAGAGAGAGAGAGAGAGACAGAGACAGAGAGAGAGATTTGATTTATTAAAAAAATTTATTTATTTTATTATTAAATTCTCTCTTTTATATCCTTTATATCTTTAAATAATAATTTTGTTATTAAGAATAAAGATTTTATCGTTAACAATATAAAGAGTCAATTTTAAAAATAAAGTGAAGTAAATTAAATACAATAGCTTATTGCTTGGTACGAGTGGTCGATTATTACTGTAGTTTTCTATCTCTCTCTCTCTCTCTCTCTTTCTCGTAGTTTCGCCAGGATTAAAGTTATTGTCCAACGTAACTTGGAAATCTTGCCAGGACGAAATGGTCGTCCCGCTAATGTCACCACGCGACCCACCCAACTTATCAGGTTCCACATAGTTTCAAAGAAAGTTTGCAACGCATACATTTTTACGATTCTTCGTAATGCATATACACTTTTATGGAAGTTCCGCTCGAATTTAAGGGAAACGCGCGAAACCACGCGGATGTTTATCAAGTGGGAAGTTTGTCTCGCTATAATAAAAGCTGACGGCCAGAAAAAAGAGGAGACCGAAGGTCTCTCCTGAGGGAAACTTGTGGGTGTCCTCCTTCCCGAAGTCGGGACGGTCATGTTAGAGTAAGGAGGTATTCCCTGCAAATTTAATGGCGGATAGAAGTCCGCAGACGTCGACTTTCTTCACCCTTTCCTTTCACATCCCTCCCCCGTTCACCTCTCGCCGTTGCGCATCTTTACTCTTCTCGCGCCGTGCCAATCCCCATAAAAAATGTTTGCGGCACGATCTCGTCAGCCTTTTGAGTTATTAACACCTGCGAGATCGCTCGTCCTGATCCTCGAGCATAATTCATCCTGTGGGCATCGCGCGTTGGCAGATCCGTTTCACACATTCCCGAAATACTGTGAGCGGCTTTTCCTCCTTCCTCTCTTGCCTTGCCTCCGTCTCTCCCTCCTTTCTCTTCCTCTCACGTATATACGCACTCGAACATTATAGTTGCATCAACCTCAAATCCATGTTCATTATGGATAGATTCCTAAGCCATTAACATCCCTATAATCTTACCCGTTCCGAACAACGCCATCAATCCTCTCTGCCCTAAGCCACCCCTTTCCATCTCAATTTTCCCGATCATCCCTCACCGTTCGGTAATCCTGTAAAATGATAATGCGACGGTGTTGCTGGATTCGGTGAAATAATAGTCCGTCAGCGTTATATTAATTAACTCACGTACGGGGCCGGGAAGCTATATTGATATGATAGCCACGAGACAAGTATTTTTCATTTTATGCGCGTGCACATTTTTCCCAAGCGACAATTTCTTTTATCAGACTGAGATGAAGGAGAGAAAGAGAGAGAGAGAGAGAGAGAGAGATGTAGTTCTTGCCTCTGGCTCGGACGTAAATAGATTTATTTGATTCCGTCTGTGATCGGAGATGTTTTCTCGCACGTTTTCCAGGGAGCGGACACTACGGAAGAAGAAGTGAAAAAGTTCACGTGGCGTGCCATCGGCAAACATCCGAGACGACGTCGGGGAAGTGTACGACGCCGGCGACCTGCGATTGCTAAATTCCCGCTAGCCCCGAGGATATGTTATTTCTGAAGGCGCAGGTTCGCGTCGCGCGGATCAAATGCGCCCGCAATGGCGGCGGAAAGTGGGCCAGGTCGGCTGTCGGAGCCGGTAAGTTAACGGCGACAATGTAAAGCGGTTTCATCCCTTTGCCCGGTTCGATATATAGCGCTTCGCGGCTGCGGGATTAAACTTTAGATAGAATCTCGAACTTTATTTATCTACTTTGATAACGCGCGAGAGACGAAGTGATACTATATATACCGAAAATGACACCGAACGAGATAAAGCTTTAATTTCGGATATGAGGTACGATAGCAACCGCCAACGGCGACACGTATAGTGTAATAGATCTCTAAAGAACGAAGAGAACTTGCTTCGTAAGAGAGACTTGACATTTTTTTTTTAAAGTTAAGTTAGAAGAATATTTTTTTAGGAGAATAAATTTTTCGCAGAGGTATGCATGACCCATTTGCCCGCCTGTAAACACGTCACGAACGTATGCGAGGGAAGCGCGTCGCGCGAAAATTAAGGTCAGCGGTTTAAAGGTACCCCCACGTGCTTGGAGGACAAGATCTCTCGTGCTCCGATTGCTTCATTAATCCTCATTATTCTTCGTTAACCTTGCTCGTGTTCCTCATTAATCTCCGTTAATCCTCCGGCGGAGCTATCGCCAACGCCACTCCTCGTCGGGAGCAGGCGAGGCAATGAAACTGATAATATTCTTGATTCACTTCGCGCCCCTTTCCTTCGCGACACTATGGCGCTCTAATCTGGCAAAACAAATAACTAAGTTGACTCGGAGCTTGTTTGTAGATGCAACTGGGAGACGTCAGTTGCGGCAGCGATGAGACACGAGCGACGTTGAGGTGCGATCGTCTGGAATGAGGCACTGAGATAAAGAGCCCAGAGTGCATTACCGATGAGCGCGCGGCGCTTATGACGCGGAGAGATCTCGCGCCGGTTGCAGACCGCGAGCTCGAAAACTCGAATTCACGATAAAGGTAAAACGCAAAGGTACGTGCCCCTCGCGAAATATCGGCAGCTCCCGTTGCTGTCGTCCTCATATCGGATGTCGAGCGCACAAAGCCCCGCGGCTTTCCGCGACGAACCGCGATCTGTCCGTTTAATCGGACTTGGTTGAATTCGCGGAAACGCGAGTCGATCGACTCGTCGCTGTTGCGAACGTATCGAGAATACTCGGACACTTGGCGAAATCTCTTCGATCCCGAGCCGATTCCGCGTCGTGACGTTCAATGCGTAATTATCACGGATTATTCTCGTGAGTGGAGTCGCGCTCCGATCCCGCGGTGGTTGGTCGACGCGGAATGCGACGCGCGTTACCTCGAGAGCGGAAGCGATCGTCGTAACAAAATCGATCGCACCTGATCGCGCCGGCCGGTACGCCGTGTCGAGTGTGCCCTGCACCTTCCAGCGTCGTTTCTTCCGTCATGCGAGCGGAAGTCGGTGGCCGTGCGGCGACGAGCGTCGCGCGGGACTTCTCGTCGGGTGTCCTGTACCCGGTGACCCGGGTGAGCACGAGATGAAAGTGCGCGTCGCGTTCACATCGCGGGATGTCGTCGGGACTGACTGGATGAAAGGGAGAGGACGGGACGGGATGAGGACAGCCGGGGAAATGTCCGCGGCGATCGGCGCCGCGGGCGGTAGGACGAGGAGTCGTTCGGTGATGCTGCTGGTCGCGATCGCGTGCTGCTGCTGGTTGCTGCTGATCGGCGAGTGCGCCAGCCAGAAGCCGATCAACCTCGGCGGCAGCAAGAAACGCGACGTCTACATCGCCGGCTTCTTCCCGTACGGCAATCACGTGCCGGAGGGTCACATCGGCCGCGGAGTCATGCCCGCGGTGAAGCTCGCGGTGGAGCACATCAACGAGCACCCGACGATACTCAGGGACTATCGGCTGCACATGTGGTGGAACGACACGGAGGTGAGTAGTCCCTGTAAAATACGGCAAATTCCCTGAACGCTAGTTAGCGAATCCCTAAATGTGGATTTATCTCTCTTCTACTTTTTCAATAAGAATACCTGTTCTTTTCTGGGACGCGATGGTTATACGCTCTTTCCTTTTTGTCTTTCTTTTTCCTTTTTTTCCAATTATCCTCCTTATACGTTGTTGAAGGCAAATTCTTTTTCATTATTATTTGATTACGGACCCGCCCGAGTCTTTTGCCGTATAGTTACAAGCGTTATCGCACAAAGATCGTTGGAGATTAATAAATTACTACCTCGCTTATAACTTCTTCCATTACTTCAAATATATTTCTGACAATCTTGCTTAGATTAAGATTAATAATTGAGAATTCCCAGTCGTTATAAATAAATAGTGATATTTAATAGCAGTAACGTGGGGGGATATACTTGAGGCCACTAGAGACTTCGCACGCCCGGCTGCGCAACAGAAATAACGTATCCAATCGAAAATTGATAAATTATTCGTAGATTTGGATATTTATATCTTCTTTCGTCATTCTCCAAATATATATTTCTCAATCTCAATTAAATTGAAAACGGTTACTGATCAGAATTTTTGAAGATTTTTCCTCTTAAAATGTCATGACTTTTATTCCTCATTTTTTCTGCTTTCTATTGAAATGCAAAGGATTTAATTTGATACGTAAGGGAAAAAGCAGTACGTATCATGAAATTTTATTTCATTTTTAATAACCTGGAAACTTCCAATTTCGGTAAATGTATTTAATGAAACATCAATTTGTAAGAGATTCAATACTCTATAACGTAGCGAAGTGGAGATAAATGTAGCGAGTTTTTAAATTTCCTCTTAAAAGAAAATCACGCAAAGCACTTTAAAAATAATTTTAATATGAACCATCGCATAAAATTGCAATAAATATTAAAAAAAAATATTTAACAAATAAATACATATAAAATTTATACAAAAAAATTCAAGCCCTAAAACTTTTTATAATTGTAATTATTTACGACATGTAATATTATTACCTAGTTTTTTGCTTAATAACGCCATTGTAAAATTGAATTGAAATATCGCGAAACTATTAAATCTCTTTTCTTGTATAAAAATTTTTATATGTCTACAAAAATTACAGATCTCAGATCTGCGAAAATATACAACTGTCGGAATGGATGGAATTTCTGTATTCTACAAAAGAGTCCTTCAAAAACATGTAACGTAATAAAACTCCCGGATGGGATTTTTGCATGTCCGTAAGAAATTCCTTGGAAATACGTAATATAATAAAACTGGTCAAATGTTGTTCCAAGGGACGGAAGCTATTCTATAATTGGTATACATACGTAAAATCCATGTAATCCGCGTTATATTATTACGGATAGCCATGCCGGGCCGGGAACAAAATGTGACCCACCAGTGGATATGCGGACTTTCATGAGAGGAAAAACATGTCTCATCATTAGATATATAGTATTGAACACGTATAAGAAACCGATAAGGGACGATGGAAGGAGATTCAGAGTTTATGCAACGTCATTGTATACTTATCGTTCACAGTTGTATCCGCTAATGTAAAAAAAGATATCTGTTTTCATCATTCTTTCAATATCTCATTTAAACGACTGCACATGTGAACGTATATGTATACCTTTTTATGCAACTTATCGATCTGTTCAACTCAATTAACAATTCATTATTCGAACTGTTAGTGATAATAATATGAATCTGTGTGTTTAAGTTTTATCCAAAAATATTCTTATACATGTCTGTAGAAACTAAATAATGGAAATAGAATTGGACTACAGCGTGCGAAAATGCAATCTGAAATTTAGGTCAAGGAACGAATCAATTTTTATCGCTGGGAAACTTTTAGAAAATGAAAGAGATGAAAAATACGTATATACATATTTATCGAAAAATATCAAATAAGAAATCTGATACTTGTAGATTGAAGAGCGTGATTCGGATCCCACATTCTTTCTTCTAAATCTATTATCGGATTTTTTTGAAGCAGACTCGTCGCGGCTGTTTTACATAGATTGACGCGCGCGGAAGGGTGGCTCAGTGCTAGCGTTATTACATCCTGAAAAGTTATTTTGCTATGTTATTATTATCACGCGGCAGCGTCTCGACGTCAAGTGCATAAAAATAGCGCCAGGCCGTATGCGACCATGCTCACGCCATTATCTATCGCCGAGCGCGCGCTACACCTCGACTCCTCTTTTCTGGAAATTTCGCACCTCGGATTTTGCTATTAAAATTTTTCAGAGAATAATACTGCACAATGGGAAATCTAATGAAATTCTTCACAATTATTATTATTTTTTTAATAGGTTAGTAGGTCAACAAATGTTATTATCATTTTTTTTAAGCGTGCTGGAAATGGCCTCTATCGGCAGCGCGAACGTGACATCCGTTTATTCTATTATTTTTTTCTAATAATAAACCTAAATCCGTATATTCGTTTTTGCATGCAAAATAATATTAACTACGAAAACGGCTTGACAATCATTGAAATACCGCTAATATTTTTGCAGCAATAATTAATTGAATAATTTTTAATCTTCTTCTGTTTATCTATTTATTTGTAACAATGTTATTTAAAAACAGCTGAAACAATTTTATTTGAAATTTTAACATCAGACGTGATGTTATACCTATACGTAACTCTACAACGATAATAATATTTTCAAAAGGTAACAACGTTTTTAAAAATTAATCGATTAACAAATTTATTAATTATGAAATATTTATTTTCGCGTTTGAAATGGCATCGGTATAAAACGGGTATACGAAGTACGGATAACTCGCTAGCTAGTTATTAATAAAACTTTTATTGATATTGATTTTTTCGTGTGCGCCACCCTGTTACATTATACATTTTAAAACACGCTCCGATTCGCTCGGCGCATCGAGACTGAAACATAAAGTCGTTATTACGAATCACCGTGTTACAGCCGCGCGAAAATGATCTCCGCTCGGGATAATGGTAATGGGAACAGACGCGGAATATGTTTTTTTTTTACATTGCGAATCGAGAATTAAACTCACTGAAATCGTAGCACCGAGCAAAATTCGTCGCGCGAACGTGACGCATTTGGATCTGTCGAGAATATTTGACGGGTGAACGCATTGTCCCGAGAGAGAGAAAGAGAGAGAGAGAGAGAGAGAGAGAGAGAGAGAGAGAGAGAGAGAGAGAAAGAGAGGGTGAGAGAATCGGGACTGGAGAAGGGGAGGGGTGAGGGTTGGGCTTTGCCTTTGCCAGCCATCGCCGATGTTGCGCATCGGTCGATACATCCAGCCAGCAACCGCCACTTGTATCTCAATTTCCGCTGAATTAGGAGCTATCGACGCGGGACGATTTATCGCGTTGTTTACCGCCACGATCGCGACGGCGGCGATCGTCGCGAATTTCGCGGAATCCTCTCCGATCTCGCGATTCGATTCCACCGCAAAGTGAACGATCGTCTGTGCGCGCGCGCGCTAGTCTCTCACAAACGTGGTTTTTACACCTCGCCGTGAGCGCGTACATTTTTCGTACGCGCGGACCTCGGATATCGAAAAACGTTCCCGGTTGCCGTCTGTACGACCGTGCATATACGCAGCTGTCTCTCGAGTCGCCCGCACGAACTGGAAAGGTAGAGAGACGTGGGGAAATTGCGGAGAAAACTTGCCGGAGTAGGAAGCGCGCACCCGAGTCAAGGATACCCGACCGCGACGGCAACTTCGAGGGGGAAAACTTTACGTTTACCTTTCTCTGTAGCGTCTGGAACTATATACGACACCCATACGAACTCGCGCGCGAGAGTCTCGCGGAATTAGGTCCCCTCATATGACGTCTGTATCCGAAGGGGGTGGCGCGGGTTTTCCCCGCGCGGGAAACGCGCGAGCGCGCACGCGGCCGCGCACGCTTTAAATTATGGATGGAAATTTATGCGAGCGCGCTATGGGTCGCGCAATGCCTATGAAAAACAATGCGCGGGCGAGTCGTTGAGCGGAACTGCGGGACGGTGTAAATCACAGCTTTCTCATTTCGAGAAACGAAAGGGATTTGCCGGGGCGCTCGACGTAAGATATTTTCGGTACTTTAGCCTCTTTCTCATTTACAGCATCCGACCGCGTGGGAAGCGAGTGGAATTTTATTCCATACCAAAATGACGAGAGAGAGAGAGAGAGAGAGAGAGAGAGACTCTTATTACGCCTTTAACAAAAGTACGGAGTGTTATTGTTGCTCGCGCGCGATTCAAGTTGCTATTTTGCTCTCTTATCGGCTCTCCCACGAAATATGGACTACTACTCGTATATACTAGAGCGGATGTAGAGACCTGTCGGAAATTTTCTACACGCGTGCTTTACACCTGAAGCGTCCACTGACCGGAACGAAAGAATGCAACGAGATTATCTTGTTAAATATACTCGACGTACATTCGATAAAGCGCGACCCGCTTTATATATATATATATATATATATATATATATATATATATTTAACGTTAGTCTGTGCATAGCCACGTAATATAGCATTATCCTCTTTTCCTTGCAATGGAAGGTAAACAGCCGTGAAACAGCGTTTTTTTCTTCAACATAATTTCTCGTTCGCTGAACCCGGAGAATCGTGTCGCGATTTACGACACGGCGCGGCGCGGCGTGCTCACGCTCGGAAAATCGCTGAGACTTCCAGACATATCGAATTATGAGAGTCTCGAAGTTAGCCCCGGAGGAAGCTGAGCTGACGACAAAAAGTGGAGCAGCTTATACGAAGACAGGAAAGATTAATCGCTTCCGATTACTTGCTGAAAGGATATTGTGAGCCGTGTACGATCGGTGGCGCAAACCGTACCTACCACGTGCTGTTTTCAAGTACGCTATCGTCAGTAGTTACGACAAATACGCGTGCAGACGCGTCTGGCTATTTTCGTGTATTTTTCACTGCGAACAGCTTTTTTTGCTCGCCGATCGATACGCATCGGATTTGATTAATTCAACCGTGTAATCGGGTGATGCAGTTTAAAATTAATTCTTCCTATTCTCTCTCGCGAAGGAAATTGCTGCTTTTCGACGCGACGAATTTTCCGCATGGGCGTTCCATGACACGCAATCGCATAATTAAGGTATCTGCCGCCTCGTTGAATCGATATCGCTTTCGTGATTTAACCCGAGACATCTAAGCGCAAGGAGATGCCATCTTTTCTTTCGTAATGGTGGATTATTCTTTGTCATTTGCCGCGACAATGCGGCAATTCTCGTTGTTCGAGGTCGATGAAACGACGTCTCTCCTCGTTTTCCACGGCTCCTTGTATCTCAAACAGGCTCGCATTCATTCTTCTTGCCAGCTTCTTTTCAGATCTCTCTACGGCATAGCGATCGTTAAACGGCGACTAATGAACTTAGATTTCTTCCTCGAGTTGTACGATTCTCTCCCGTAACGTAATTTCCAAGGGCGGATTTTTATCTCTGCTCCGCGATAACCAATGTATCGGAAATCGATGTAAAATAGAACGAGGAGGACGTGCAATAAACGCGAGACACGGAATCTCTAGGGTAGCGATAAATGTGGATATAATTTTTAAAAAATTTTGAAGGACCATCGCGCTCACCTTTATGAATTTTTAAATAAAGAATTTACTCGAGATAATTAAGTAGCTTGCGCGCGAGAATTATGAGGATGGAAAATGCACGGAGGGAAAGATAATGGCGGAATATCACGGGAGCGATATTCAGAAAATGTTACTGGCGCGAATTGCACCGGTGGGGGACTGTTTTGAAAATAATCTTGATTGATTTTGTGGAAATCTCTCAGACTGCTTATAATAGATTCGGCGGGGAGGGGACTCGTTCCGTTTCTGTCCAGCCAGAACTCCTATTTTCATCTGTACAATTATATCCTTTTACATCTTGTTTTCGGAACGGGGTCATCCACGGTGAGCGCAAAGAGAATGTAGCGATACGTTGGAATCAATTTTCACGTGAAAAAGAACACTCGAAATGGTGCTGATGTCAAAGGGGCATGTAGACATCGTAGACTCAAACGGAATACGCGATGTCATTCCCAATGATCGTCTGTCGTCGCCAAGATAACTCATAGCTCAAAGATCATTCCTGCGTCCGCTTTAACTGTTATTTCAGCTACGACGCACAAAGCGCTCATATCCGTTCGCATTAAATTTATTTCTGCAAAAATTCAACTTTTGAGAACAAAGTTTTTCCTTCGACGGAATATTTAAAATACTTTCCCTGTTTTTACTATAAAAAAAAAACCATTATGGTATGAAAATAGTTCGAGTTCTCTCTGTGCTTCCTCCTCGAGGTAAATAAAATCGAAGAGTGTTACTCGCATTTATTAATATCACAATTTCAATCCCGCGTTTCCGGATTAATTTTTCGTTAATTAGAATGACGTCGGCTGCATTACGATAATATATATTCATCCCTCCCCACCTTCTTTGGCATCTATTCTCCGCTCTTCTCTATTTTCTGGCTGTACACCAACAAACACTTGTTGATTCTGTAAATATCAAAGAGGATTTTCGATATAAGAAATGATCACTTTTCATCTTGACGCAAACACGAATCGTGAAAGTGTGAGAAAAGAGTAATATACGACACGTTTCGCAACATTGCGCCTAATTTTTTTTTTTTTCGCGATATTCAAACTGCTTCTTATTTTGATATTTTCTCGGTATTTTGGATACTTTTCTGATTTCCACCAGACTCTTTTCTAGACACTTGAGTTTGCCTTGAAATATTATCCTATCACAATGCGAAACGAGCGTGTGTATAACAAATCTCGTGTATTGCAGTGTAGTGCCGCCGTCGGGATGAAGGCGTTCTTCGACATGATGCACAACGGGCCGCACAAGGTGATACTCTTCGGCGGTGCTTGCACACAAGTCACGGACCCGATAGCGAAAGCCTCGAAACACTGGCGCCTTACGCAGGTAATGCGACGGTAAAACGTCGTCGTAAATATTCATGACTTGCGGGGAGGCTGTCCTCCTTCTTGCTCCTCTGCTTATTTGCATGCTGACACACACATACACACACACACAGAGATACGTGCACACGCACAGCGGGGGAGGGAGGAACAAAAAAGAAAACAGAAACAAACAACGAGCTTTATAAGAGAGGTGTGGTTCTTTACCAATATTCGCTCTCTACTCTTACTGTTGCAGCTCAGCTACGCGGACACCCATCCTATGTTCACAACCAATAGCTTCCCGAATTTCTTTAGGGTCGTGCCGTCGGAAAACGCCCTCAACGCACCGCGAGTGGCGTTACTTCTGCATTTCAACTGGACCCGGGTTGGCACGATTTATCAGAACGAGCCCAGATACGCATTGGTAAAGCCAATCCTAAGATCAGCGATCGAGGAAGCACTCGGTCAATAAGAAAAGCCGAATGAAAAGAGAAAGAGAAAGAAAATTCATAAATTTTATAAACAATTTTCTGTACCGTGGTCCCTTCAAAGTCGTACTTTTTTTATCATAAACGTAATTAAAATTTAAAATTGATAACTTTAATCTCGTTCCTATACGGCGAATACACTCTTTTTCCTAGATGCTAGAAAAACTCGGTAAATTATAAAAAGAGAATTATAAAAAGAGACGGGGAATCTTTTGAAAATCTCGAGACCTTCTTGTACATTTTCCACGCGTTAGTTACCATTAAGAAAGTGATTCAAACAGCGGTTCTCGACAGTTGGAAGCAATTCGGGGAAATGAAAGGGTTAATTAATCCCGTCGCGAGAGAGCGCGTCGTTTTCCACGCGCGCTCGCGGGCGTGGGTGATGTATATGCAGCAACTGTTCCATTTACATTATAAATGGAGATTTGCCGTCGCTAGCGGCCTGCTTGAACAAGCTAAATGCGCGAATGCGCTCACGTTATGGCACGTGATAAGCATTCGTATTGAAAGCGGCAGGAGTTCTCTCTTTCTCTCTCTTTCTCTTTCTCTCTCTCTCTCTCTCTCTTTCGTCATCCTCCCTGCGAATCGCGTTTCCAGGTGCACAATCGGTTGGTGGCCGATCTGGATGAGAGCAAAATGGAGCTCGTGGAGACGCTAAGCTTTGCCAACGAGGTGACAACGGCGCTCGAAAAGCTCAAGGAGAGGGACGTGAGGATTCTCCTGGGAAATTTCAACGAGGCGTGGGCTAGGCGGATATTCTGCGAGGCTTACAGGTTCGGCTTATACGGCAGAAAGTATCAGTGGGTCATCATCGGGACTTATACCAGGGAGTGGTGGTTGCGCCCGGGCGGCGGATGCGCCCCATCCGAGCTGTCCGAGGCCCTTCACGGTGTCATCCTGACGGATCTGTTACCGCTGACGACCGAGGAGCAGCACACCACGTCCGGAATTGTGAGTGTACCGCATCGAAACTGCGCGCTGTTGGTTTTCGATTAAATCCGCGCGGATCGCTCCGGGAAGTCCGGGAATCCCGTTCAACTTGGAAATTACTTGGCCTTTTTAAATTGGTCGAAATATCGTTTCTCTGTTATAAATGTAATTTAATCACATCCGAGATTTTCTTTTCGCGGTAGAAACGCGACGCTATGTTATTTCTTCCACGTGAGTAGTTGAATTCGATCCTGAAGGGATTACGGCGGAATCGCGGAATCAGATTGACTGAAGAATCCGTATAGATGGAGTACAGCGCTCCGAGTAACGTGTGTATGCGTATCTGCTTGAATGCATTTCTGATCGAATACGGATCCCCCCGAAAATTGCGTTTAATCGCGCCTTGGAGCGATCGACGGCGGTTCAAACGAAAACGACGTACATATATATATATATATATATATGTGTGTATATATATATATACACACACACATGACTCTTTGAGATTCGTCATACACGAGGGCACACGCCTGTTGCGTCTTCATGCATTCGATTTGATGCGTTTCACCCCCAGACCCCGGACCAGTATCAGGTCGAGTACGACTCGAGACGGGGCGCCGAGTACTCTAGGTTCCACGGATATACGTACGATGGTATCTGGACGGTCGCGCTGGCTGTAAAACACGTCGCGCGCAGGATACGACACTTCCATCGTAACCAGACTATATCCGACTTTCGGTACAGGGACGTATTGTGGGAAAAGCTCTTCCTCGATGCCCTCAGGAATACAAGCTTCGACGGTGTCACGGTAAGCTTGGCCCGCCTCGCAATTTCGCGTCGCAACGGCGCCCCTTCACCCTCGTACACCGGCGAACACAACCCGGGATAATGTCATTCGACATAAAACCCCTAGTGCTAAAAACGAACGTCGTTATAGAATGCGCTACGTAGCAAGCGTACAGATCTGCAGTAGTTTTCTCGAGAGATTATCTTGGATATAAGTAAGATTTAGATGACTTTTTCCGTTTCTATTTTATCAGCAATAAACGGTTTTAAGCAGCTTTTAAAAAGATATTGTAACTCTAATCTACGTATTTACTTAACATTCTGTTTCTGTTGTAATTGATAAAGAGAGAATTCTCGGAAAGAAAGCTTTTGTGCTAAGTAATATTCTCTTTTAAAAAATTACTCGTTTTCCACTTTTCGTTAGCGCCATCGGTTGCTAACGAGTTTCTAAGAGATATCTAAAAAGTTAGGTAACAGATTAAGACTTTTTAATGTTTTGTAAGTTTAATTTTTCTAATATCTTTCTTAATATCAAACTTTTGAGTTCAAAAAACACATTCTGAAAATGTACTGCAAATAATAATTTAACTTTTCTAAAGTGTTTCGTTTCGTTTTCGTTTTTTTTCTCAAAGTATTGCTTGTTATATTTAGTTTACGATGAGAATAATGACATTTTTATTTCTTATTATAAAAAGGCAATTGTTTTCGATTAAAATAAAATGTATGATATTTTTTTTTACACTCGTACCAATAAATTCTCGAGACATTTTATATTAATTGCGACCTTACATGTTTATATTTTGTGAAGGATAAAGAATTTCGCTGGGATTATCACCTTTCGCTTTAGCCCTTTTAACGATAATTTCCGTAGCTCAAAGCAAAATATTTCTCTTTCCGCGCGCTCGATTGATTCGCATCACTTAGCTCCAATTCGCCGAGTTGTTATTTGTGTCGAGGGTATTGAGATAACCATTGTTGCCGTGAGACTGCCCCCGGGTATTGCGGAACCGGGGAGAAACTTGCTTAAAAAGACGACAGAGACTAAAGGAGAAGAAGACGTTTGTAAAGAAAAGACGAAGAGAGATTGGAGAGCGTGTCTTTACGCTCTCATTAGACGAGCGACAACCCCTGCTTTCGATCGTCGAGCGCATGGGCTCGGTGACGACGGGCTGGCCGAGCACTTTGTGCCTGTCGTGGACAGAGAGAGAAAGAGAGAGAGAGAGAGAGAAAGAGGAGAGAGATGCGGAGAAGAACACAGAGGCCGCGCGTTCCACAGTAATCAACATTCGTACTATAGGCGCGCATGTTACACTTGACCGTCTTTTTGCCCGAGCCCGAGTGTCTTCAAGCGCAGGCATCACTTTTCTGCACGCGTCCTAACCGCGCGAGCGTTCGCAACGGCGAACTTAATGAGTTGCCTTTTTTATTTTACGCCCTTTCCATTTGTACTTCTCTCTTTACATTCTCTTTTCTTTCATTCGTATATACTCTACCCGTGACGCAGTGCTTTGCAACGCCACAGTTGAGCGCGTTTTAGCAAAAAGGGATACGTATACGTGTATGTATGGTAGCAATAACAGAGCGGGAGAATGGGACCGATCGGCGGTGAACCGAATTGAAATTAAAACGAAATCAAAAACATGACAAACCGCTGGGGCGAGTTAGCGAGGCAAATTGGCATGAGTTGATAGCGAGTTGAATCGGTGAGCGGGCTTTTATTTTAAAATCCGTTTCACCCGACGATCCCGACCGATCGCCTGTGGTAACCGCCCTGTATAACAACGCTATACATGGATGTGAGAAGTATAAAATTTTGCAGGGGCCGGTCCGCTTCTACGACAACGAGAGAAAAGCGTACATTCTTCTAAAACAATTCCTGGGTAAGTTATTTCTTGATATTGGCTGCAGGAGAGAGGGCGGAAGAAGGAAAAAAAGAGAGAATTTTGAACACAGAATTATTCAGATAGATTAAAGTACCTATTACAAAATTAATTTAGAGAGTATATACTGGCTACGGTACAGCAATTAATAAAGGAATTCAAATGAAAAATATGTCATGTGGAAAGCGCGGATCGCACAATTTTAATTTAACAAAAGAATTTTTTAAATTGCACTATAGGATAAAGTATATTTGTAACAGTTTCAATTAGGTATTGTTTTTTTTTACTCGATATTGGCAACCACCATCTATTTCACCATCAGTGGTATAATTTACGGATCAGTGCGTATATTTCTCGTGACCGATTCGACGTTAATAGTAATACAGATACGGATGTTAAAAATTGGTCGCTTCGAAATAAAAATGTTTAACGCGAAATAGAAATATTATCTTATCGCGTCTCTTGAACGTGGATTCATCGTTTTAGACGGTCGCGAGGTAAACGTAGGCGAGTACGATAGCATAACTGGCGTTCTGGATCTGACCAGAAGAGAGGCTCCGCTGTGGAACGGTAAATCACCGCCGAAAGACAGGACGGTTCGCATCATCGAGCACTCGACCGTGGACATCACGCTGTACGCGGTGCTAGCCTCGGCTGCTAGTGTCGGTATCGTCTTGGCATCCATTTTTCTCGCCATCAATATCAGATACAGAAATCAAAGGTGACGGCTCCGCCGTAATATATAACAATTATACAACACGCGCGTAACACGGTTCCTCCATTTCGCGCTCCCAGATTACTTTCCCGGTCCCTCCCCCCAGGGAGCCAACGTGCGCGGTTCACACGCGAAACTCAATATTACAGATACATCAAAATGTCATCGCCCCACCTGAACAACCTCATCATCATCGGTTGTATGCTGACCTACAGCAGCGTTATCTTCCTCGGACTAGACTCGCAATTATCGAGCGTAGCGGCGTTCCCATATATCTGTACGGCCCGAGCGTGGCTGTTAATGGCTGGTTTCTCGTTGGCCTTCGGCTCCATGTTCTCGAAAACGTGGCGTGTACATTCCATATTCACCGACGTGAAGCTCAATAAGAAGGTAACCCGTTAACGAGAGCGCGGCGCGCACTTTCGTGTTCAGCGTTAACGAGCCTGTATCGTGTGATTCAGGTGATAAAAGATTACCAGTTGTTCATGGTCGTCGGGATATTGTTGGCCGTCGATCTCACGATCATGACGACATGGCAAGTGGCCGATCCGTTTTATCGGGCGATAAAACAAATGGAGCCCTATGTGAGTAAAAAAAAAAAATTATGAAAACGTATATATACATATATATGTCAATAAATATACGCTTACAAATTTCGGCTGCATTTCCGTCTCTATCTTCTATCTGCAGCAATGCGCGAAATGAGTTCGCGGTAATGTTCGTTAATACGCGAATTGCCTCTCGATTGCAGCATCACCCTTCCAGCGAGGATATAATAATCATCCCGGAAAACGAGTATTGTCAGAGCGATCAAATGAATATTTATCTGTTTTGCATATATGCATACAAAGGCCTTTTAATGGTAAGTTAAGCTGAATCGCTAAGCGCCTCAGCGCGGATAAAATGGCATACGATAGGCACTCACCCGGCCGGCTTTCAGATATTCGGTGCCTTTCTGGCATGGGAAACGCGGCACGTTAGTATACCGGCATTAAATGACAGTAAATACGTGGGGATGAGCGTGTACAACGTTGTTATAATGTGCGTCACCGGTGCAGCTATAAGCTTCGTGCTGACTGACAAACAAGACGCCATGTTTATAATGTTGGCGGTGTTCATTATATTTTGTAGTACAGCCACTCTTTGTCTGGTTTTTATTCCTAAGGTACGTTTTTATCTCGCCCATTGTTTTGCATTTTAAACTGACCTTCGATCGCGAACGATCGAAGAGATTACTTAATTGAATGCTTTCCGCTTAGCATTTTCCGAACTAAAACTTTGTCAAACGGATTTAATTTTAAATCGCTAAAGTCTTATAAAAGTTCTCGTTCATTTAAGCATGATACTATTGATTTGTCTGATACTACCTATTTATCGCGCGTTTTCACTCTTCAGCAGTCGTCTTATTACAACCTAGAATCTTTGCAGAGTTCTCTTTTGGAATTTGTTCCTTTGGAGTCTAGAATTCTGAGTCGCTATATACTTAGTTAAAAAAAGCATTTTTTAATTACATTTGTAGTGTCAATCCTCCTTTTTAAAATTTATATTTATGTTATTAAAAAAAGAGTATTTATGTAGATGTATGCACATTAATTTATTTAATTTTCTTTTCCTTTGTTATTTTATATTAATTTTATAACCCAATTGCTTCAGTTAATTTTTCAAACACTTTATGTTTTTCCATACGCATGTTTTTAAAGGATCTGCCCTAGAGCGATAATAAACATTTCTGTCCTATTCTCGGGGTGAGAACCGGCGAAGCCAAGTAAGTCTCTTGGGATTTTCAGGTAATAGAGTTACGCAGAAATCCACAAGGGGCGATAAATAAGCGGACCAGGGCGACTCTGAGGCCGATGTTGAAAATACGAAGGGACTCGACTGTCAGCGAGCTCGACGAGCGTTTGAAGGAGGCGAAGCTGACGAATAAAAAATTCCGGAAGCAATTGTTGCAAAAGGATTCCGAGCTTCAGGTAAGCTTTTCCGTTCATTAAACTTCCAAACGGCATTACAGCAAGTATTACTTCGCCGGAGTTACGAACTTGTTACACAAGGAATACGTTACGTAGTCTGTCGCAGAACCACCTTTGTTTCTTCTGCGAGAAATCTGAAATCTGAATTTAATGTTAAAGTTAATTGAAATTAAACTTTATTGAGAGAATTAAGTTTTGAATAAAAATGAAGAAAGATCGGAGATATATATGTATCATGTAATATACTTTATACAATAATTGTTTGCGTCATTCTACATTTATCTCTGTCTAATAACCAATTTCACTAAAATTTCCTTGGCGAAATGCATGCTGTTTAATAAAACACCCCATCCGTGCACTAATTTGAGGGTTGATGGCGGTCTTCGATTAACGGAAAAGCGAACGATCCAGCACCATCTATCCTTAATTTGGTTATATATAAATAATCACGACGTCATTGCTTCGCGTGCAGTTTGCTCTCCCTGAGAGTAACAATCTAAAATTATTCCAACGGGCTCCCAGTACGCTCGCACGTTTAAGCAATGTTATACTTAATCCAGAAATATTTATATCGAGTGCGTGCGTGACTGCAGAGGAAGTTATTTCATTATCTTGCATGTTACTTCAGGGATTTTTAAGGAGAATGGGCGAGGAGATTGAGAGCGAAACGCAAGAGACCGTTGACACGTTGCCGGTCCCGAAGCCCGAAGAGACCGTTAAGAGAGAAGGTAAACAAAGGAAAAATTTTGAGATGAATGAAAGATAAAAGAAAGGCAAAATTTAATTAAAAGAAATTGCAATATTTGTCGAGTAAAATTGAAAATGGAATTGCACAATTTCCAAGTAGAGTTATCATTAATTAAAATAGAGCTAATAGAGTTATTACTAATTAAAACTAAGTTATTATTAATTTATTTTGTGACCTCAATATATTTTTCTCACTTGGAAGACAATTTTTCGCAAACCTCTTTTTTTAGACTACAAATTTCAGACCACAAATTTTATTTACAACAAGAATTAATGAACAAATTGCAAATTCTGCGCCAGTTTAATATACCGAAAGATGGATAATGTTAAATCATCATATTAATAATTTCGGTTTATTTATTTGACAGGACCGTCGATAACCACAGAGACGACCGATGTTTCAATGTCCATGTGCAGCTTGAATTCATCAACCGTTTCGCAGCCAGAGGGTGATTACGTCAACGTGGATCAAGTAGCAAAGTACGTAGTCACGCTTGTTATCAAACTCCTCCTTTAGTTCTAAACCCTTTAACGGAATGTAGTTAAATTGACCATTGCATATAGAAACGAATTATTTGACTAAAATAATTAATTGTTTCGATTGAAAATTCAGTTAATTTTACAAAACAATATATAAAATAATAACTTAACAAAAGTGCAGTTGAGAAATTTCTGTGATCTCCAATAAACTCCATGCCGTTAAGATATTACTTATAATTTATCTGTTTTTTTTATTTTGTTTCAAAAATTAGGTAAAAAGGGTTAAATGTTTAAATATTTCGACTATCTATCTATACCCTGTTGACCACGTCCCGGAAGTCTCCGGTGTACCCGGTTCGCCGTCCATCCTCAAGGTAGTCGCGTGGTGCTTGTTTTAGGAAAAGGTCGTCCCTTTCGAAGGCCACGTCAATCATCATCGACAACGAAAGAGTGGCTATGATGAGCCAGACGATTGAGGAGAGCTCCTCTCCGGGCGGTGAGGTGGCGTTGGACATGACGCCGCCGTCGCTATCGTTAGCAACAACGACGACAACGGCGATAACAACGACGACGACGACGATGACCCACATGAGGCACACGTGCGGCGCGGACGCGTCGCGGCGCAAAAGCATCCCCGACGAGGTGGCCAAGGACGGTGGCGAGACGATGATGAAACGCCACAGGATTCCCGAGCCACTACCGAGTGAAGCCGTGACCACGCGCTACGGTTTCGTGCCGCCGGTCGTCGAGGAGAGCGACGCCGTGATTCTGGAGGAGACCGAGATCGCGAGGCACGTCTGCCGCGTGAGGAGGAGGAGCAAGGAGGACCGCAGGGCGAAGCTGTCGACGCCGCCGCCGACCAAGAACGTCTCCTTCGGCGAGCTGCACGAGCAGAGCTACATCGAGCACGTGATGCCGTTTTCATTGCAATACGTGCCGAATCATCGGCATGGTAAGAATCGATGCTCCCGAGCTTTTTCTCGCGATTTGATATGGCACACGTATATAAGTAAAATTTGTATATTACAAAAGTAGTGTTGTACAAGTGTTTCAAAAAGAATTCAAATTTTACAGAGTAGATGGTATTCACATTAAATTAAGTAAAAATAATGTTTGCGTTAAATATTTAGATCAATTGAAAAATCTTCGTACTGCTGGAATTGGAAGCGATTTTTGGTAAAGCAAGTGATTTGCTCACTTCTTATGTGAAATGAAAAAGGGAAAAAATATTTTAGAGATTGATTTTTCAATTTGCTCTCTATTGAGTCTTTTTTACTTGGCTTAATGAGTACTATTTATTCTACAAGTCATGCAAACAACATACCGGACTGACTATTGTAATTTGAAGCAGCGCGTCTGCGTTTCAACTTTTAAGTGATTGAGGTCACCGGACATCCGCATCCGAGATTTGATTTTGTTGTTTGGCAAGATTTCCCTTAGATATATATCTCTAGACATTGCGAGACGCGAGACGATACGCCGGGCGTATTCTGTTATAGCAGGGAAGTACGACGAGTCGATGTCGACGATCATCCAGCGTTCCATGTCGGAGCGCACGCGGGAGAAGTGCCTGCGGCTGCACATCGGTGGCGGCCACCCCATAGTCGAGTGCTCGCACCGCGTAGCGCGCCGGATGTGCCGGCACGCGGGCTCCAAGTTGCGCCATCAGGCGCGGCTGGAGTACGTGCAGAGCACCCCGAATGTGGCGACGATGCACAACGGCAAGCACGTCGCGGCGAATCAGCGCGACGGAAGCGGCGACGTGAACGGTAGCGTCTCCCGGTCCCGTTGATTAAGCGTACAGCATCGGAAATTTGCGGAATACTAAATTCGGCCGGGGATATACACCGTCCGTGTATCCGAAACGCGTTCACGGAAAGAAGGGAATTCGCTCACAATCAGAAATCCTAATAATTTAGCAAATCAATAGCCGTATAGACAATCAATTCAGCCATAATTAAGTCTTGCACGGAGAGAATTTTTTTTTAATTTACCCTGCAAATCATGTTAATTGTGGGACAATATGGTATTTAGGAAAATTTTACTATGCACTACAATAAATTTGACAGTAGTAAAATACAGTAAAATTTATTGTAGTGCACAGTAAAATTTGCCTAAATACTATATTGTATCCCACAATTAACATGATTTGCAGGGTAAATTAAAAAAAAAATTCTCTTCGTGTGGATTTGCATAAAATTATTGCGACATTTCGACGAGATACCGCAGACTTCTTGCTGTACAAAAATATAGTGTTGCATTTACGCCAAAATCAAGTCCAAAAAATCGGTAGGTTTTCCGATGCGAAGAAGATGAAAATCGTTGAAACATCGAATTAATAATGGAAAATAAGAGAGCCGAAAAGTAATTACATTTGAATAATATAATACGCCTCGTCTTATTAGTTTGTTCGGTATGGATTCCGTGATATTAAACGCTAAATTGAAAAGTATTGATAACAAATAAATCAATAATTGTTGCGTTCGAGTATATCATGCTTAGCAGCTATCTCGCGAGGTAAATTACAAGTACTTATGTTAAGGGAGTAACAAATGTTTAATAACGAAATCGATGTCAGCCAACGAATTAATAAAGTATACGTCCGAATAGCAGTATAATTACGCGGCGCAGTTATTGATATCGGCTAATTGAATGCATCGGATAATTACCTACCCGAGTCTCTCACGAAATATTCATACCTTCATTATTCGAGTACGTTAAGGGAACGATGTAATACACATAAAGTTACGTTGTATACGTGAGACGTCCATTCAAAATATCATGTATTGCCTTCAAGAGTGAAGGATAATAACGTCGAGTGTGCTAGATTTTGGCGCGGATGCAACCAAGTACTTACAATTAGAGAGCCGAACGCGAAGGCGTCGTTGAGACAGTTCTCGACCTTGGTGTTCTCGCTTTGCAGGTGGTTCCGCGGTGAACGTGTCAAAGATGTACAGCGCTGTATCGGACGGTGAACTGCTGGATCTGACGATTCTACCGATCTTTCAGAAGCTCCTCACCGAGCGGCACAAGAGCACTGCCAGGCGGGGCTATCGCTCGAATATAGCTAGTTGCCCGAATATATCCATCAAGTGCGACATCGTCGAGTACCTCTAACGGCCAAGCCGGCGACGCTTTCTCCTCACCGCGCCGCGCCGGCACGCGCACGCGAAATCACGTTTCCCGTCACGGACTCACCGATCGTGTGTAGGGCGTGCAGCTAGATCGATTATCTAACAATAAGTTAATTAGTTAATATCGCGTTGTATAACGCGAGCGTCTTTTAGATTGTTGCGCCCCCCGAGCGTGCGGTCGGCGATACGTTGTTCGCGATTAACGCATTCGTTAAATCGGACATATTTCAGACGGTTTTTACCATTTCGTTGATTTATTTATAAGAATGACGACGGACTTGGAATACCGCTACCGCGCCACCGCGCAGCCGGGTTAATTAATTATTCGTTCCGTCTCTCGTGTCCTCGCTCTACTGCACTCGATATATCACGGTAAAGCGCGGACGAGGACAAAAAAGAAAATTGGATAACGTAATGCTCTAGTAATAATAATGCTCGAATCGTCACAGCTCTCTCATCGAGATACGAGAAAGACAACGGTCGACGAATAAAAGGTAAGACTTTTTCTATAACACACGAGAGATATTTTCTAAAGACGACGATTATTTAAGCGTAAGGAAGCGTGAAGGGCGAAACGGAGGAGAAAATTAAAAGAAAATTAAAAGAATACGAATTCGGAGTTTAACGAAGATCTATCGCGAGCTCGAAGACTCAAAGTCACCGAGAGATCCCAATATCTGCTCGTATCACTCGTCGTTAATTTGGTTCTAGACGTAAACGAAGTAAGTGTATGGATTTTCGCGCGATATTATCGAGCACACTTAGTTACTTGAACGTCAGTCAATAGATCCTGTATCTCATTAGTGACGCAGCATGTTACGCGGCATATAACAAACATTTGCGGTGAAGCGAACGAGGGAAAAACTTCATACGTATCCGTGATATAGCACACGCATTTTCGAGAGGGCGAAGTCGGGGAGGAAGGGAGGGACGGGGGGATTGTCTATGCAATCGATATAGCGTATCGTTTTCGGGGAAGGAGGGGAAAGAGAGTGGGGGGGGGGTGGACCCTAGCAGCGAACAAATATTGTTTAAATATTTCCTAGTACGACCGAAGAATATTTTTGTGACGCGACTTTGAAACATTGAACTAGTTCTAGTTAACGCGGTTAATTAATTAACGAATATATATTATACCTTCGAGATATTTACAAGACAAACTATAGGAAAACCAAAAAAAAAAAAAAAAAGATATTTGTTAGCCAAGGCAGATTGGAAAGTAGATTTAACTGTTGACTGTTATAGTAATTTCCAACTTGTAAAGCATTTTTCGTTCAAGATAATCCTACAGAATAAGGAGGTCGCATTTACAAGCGTCTCCCTCGGCTAACAAGTGTTTTACAAAGAGAGGGAGAGAGAGAAAGAGAGAGAAAGAGAAAGTATGTATGTGTGTATATATAATTATAAGAACTGTTATAAAACAAAGATATCGAGAGCATGTTAATTAGGAGCGTGTCCATTCTCTCCTTCGAGCGCCCGTTTTCACGAGGCTCGCCAAAATCTCAGGCCGGAAGGCGGCAGGAGCGGTATTTTACAAATACTAAAAGTAAGTTTTCCCTCGCGTACATTTCTAAAATAAATAACTATGTGTTTGTAAATACATGTTATAAAGTAATGTATATTCATTAAATATTTCCCACACATACACACACCACACGCACACACGCGCGCGCACGCGCGCGCGTATACACGAACACAAACACAGACACAAGTACACGTCTAACTTGGCGCGTCTAGCCAATCCTAGGGGGTAATTATGTGAACGTTCACCAGGTATATTTCGTTCTCCGCTAGGGTGCTGTGTTCAAAAATACCTCGAGGAGTATGGCGGAACATGTTAATAAAATGCCTTCGGGTATATCCCTAGAACTGATAATTATCGAATCGAATCGAATCAGTGCATGCATTGTCAATTGCCCCCCTATCCTTTCGTTTTCTACGGAGGAGTAGTAAAGAAACACGATTCCACTCTATCGCGAATAACGACGAGGATGAGATTCCGCGATTTGATCTCTCCTGCTTTAAAACGGGGTGACTCTATAATATATCCGGATGCGAATCACGGAGGAAAAATGTGCGGTTGGGAGGTAAAATGGATACACCGTTCCTTTATGCGAGTGAAATTGAGTTTTCGTTATTCCAACTTGCAAGTGAACTCATTAAAAGTAGAGCTCACTGAGTATTTCCGCGAGAGATTCCTAAGTTTCCTAAGTTGCGGAGGTTTCTCAGACGGCGCGGCCTAAGTCGACGTAACTTGTGACGTACATTCACGACCGAAGTTAACGGAGAGTCTAAGAAGAAAAGGATAAAATCTCCTTTCTTTTTCTTCTTCGTTTTTTTTCAGAGCGACGCGGTAGTTAGTCGCTCTCGTGTAACTGTAGTCTGTACCCCCGTTTTATGGCACGAAGACGGAAGTTCATCGTGTAGCTCGTGTTTTAAATATAGAAACACAACGATTTCAAATTCATCAAGGGCGACATCGCGACTCTCTCAATAATTGTCTCGCGTCGTTTGAACTTTTAGCGGGTGGAAACGACGCGCTAAACAACTCGGTGCAATATTCAGATAAGTTAAGGATAAATTTATTTCCGATCGATACCGATCAATATATATGCATGACGAAACACTCGAAGCGTTTGTACTCGTATTCCTACTGTTAGAGCATGATCTTATTAATATCCCGTAATAATTACATAAGCCAGTGGTGTCGCCGATAGGCAAGCCATGCCAAAAGTTTTTTACAAATCATCGCGAGAACAAAAAAAAAGAGAAAACCTGACAGCAAAATATATATGTATATGTATATATATATATATATATATATATATATATATATATATGCATATTTGTAACTAATGTATGCGGCGAAGCCAAAAGTGATTGAAATGAATGTGATAAGAGTGACGAAGCGCTCTTACTTCGAGATACATACATTGCATTGTGACATACGGATATATCTTTGTGAAAAATGGGCGAATTAAAAGTGATCGACTGGAATTTCGTTCTGTAAAATCCGATTGCCGGACTTTGAAACTAGAATATTGGCGCTAAAAAACTTTGTAGTTTCTCTCGACCTCTTCTCGCAAAGAGGGAAGTTTCTTTCATCCGATTCTCTCGATCAAATAATACGAGCAGTTAAATTTTTAATAAGAACGGAAACAGAGTTAACGTAGATTAAGGAAACGATTTCGGAAACTCTATTCCCGCCGATTCCTTTTAATTCCAAGGATTTCTTGTAGAAATATCTCACAAGGTTTCATCGTCAGCAAGCACATTACTATATATCGAGAGGTAAATAACGACTCTTCTAGGAGAGGAGGGGGGGGGAGGGGCGATTAACATTTGTTAACATTGTTATCGACTTTTATATATTATTACTATTTACATCTCTCTACCTGTACATATATTTTCGCAAGAGACAATGCATGTATCGTCAATTATCACGCATTCAAAATATCCATCGTACCTCCATTTCGAAGGAAAAAAAAAAACTCTGCAAAAAATAAGTAAATTCAAAGGGATTGTGGAGAAGAGAGCCCATCTCGTGTGAATGAAATTAAGAACACAGTGTCGCAGGTTCCCGTCCTTTTAGCTCGCCTATTTTTTGCAGTAGAAGAGTAAAATAGTTTACGAGTGCACTTACGAGAACGATCGCGGCTCGTCGTAATGTGAGAGATCGATAGCATGCCGCGGATAAAGATAGGATTCTTACAAGTTACCGGGCACGTGTGATATCTTACTATCTAAAGTCTATCGAGGTAATTGCTGCGCAAGGCGAATCTTAAATGTTCACCGCTGTCTACTCTCAATAAAGTGGCTGTCATTCAATAAATATATTTATCCTTTTAATTTATACAGACCGTGAGGAACACACGCACATATTAGGCAATTATATATATTATATTAATATATATAATTCATTTATATGTATATATATTAATACGTAAATATATATATATGATATTTAAATATGCTGCATATGAATGTATTACTTGAATTTTTCTCGACGCTTCGCGTTAGTAAACAAATCTTTTTTGCATATAAACTAGCAATTAAAAAGTAATTTCGTTTTCAAGTTCGAATACAATAGACGATTGCAATCCATCATGAATAAACCAAACGCGCAATTTAACGCGATTCGTTTTTCCTTGCATATATATAGTTTTACAATATGCATATGGGAAATTGAAATAAAATGAAAGGTACATACATCGGCTCGGAACTTTGATACACGTGTGCAAACACGGATTAAAATATTTTTCTATTGAAATAACGTTTTATTGCAAAAATCGTTTCAACGGGAGACATTCGGCGCTTTTATTGTTTCCCGCGGTGTGTGGCCATTTAATCACCTGCTTTTCGAGGAAGATACACAAAAACGAGATGAATGGTTGTTTTTTTCGCTTCCCACAGTGCAGGTCGTATTTATGTAGTTCTATAGATTTTTTTTTGTAATTAAACTTTCTTTTACGTTCTCATCCTTTCTCTTCCTCCCTACATTTACAATACATTTTATATATATACATATAACTGTCTCATTTTAAGTGCAGAAAGTACAAAACAGTGCATCTACGATGGACAGAAATATATATTTATTTTTTGCAACTGCAATTTTTTTGCTTTTCATATTTTCTCTCTTTCTCTTATCAACCATTCCATTCGTATATCGATCTTATTTTAAGTGTAGTAGGTAGTGGTGCTGTGGTGCAGTTACCTTCTGTGCTCTGGAAGGAATCACATGTGTTGCGCTCCCAAAGAGTTGCCACACGTGTAACGTAACATAACCCCTTTGACGCTCGTAACATTTATGCGGTAAATAAAGGACCGGTGAATATATATTCCTGTGCTCACTACAGTTTATTCTCGGTGTCGCGAGGGCACGAGATTATGGCAAAGGTTTCGCGGAAACGTGCTAAAATAGGAAAGAGCACGAGAGAACAGTTGGAGAGGCTCGATAAATCGGTACATGACGTTTGTAAACACCCTGCGAGATGCTTCGTGTATTTATGTCGGTTTATATGACATCACGCGATTGTTTCTGGCTTGCAGGAACTGATCGATAAGATATTGCGATTGGAGGCTCACAACGAGCAACTGAAACTATCGATTATAAAACGTACGGATACTGCAATGAAGAGGGAAGAGACGCCAGGGAAGGAAAGAAAGTCGTTTGATTTTTCACGGTAAATACACGGTTGCGGCTCTCGAACTTGTCACACGTTCCTCTTTCAGTCGTGTAATATTCTACTAATTTCAATCGCAGATATCACAAAAGGCACATTCTGCTGAAGTTTTATTACCTTGGTTGGGACTATCACGGTTTTGCTGTACAGGAGGACACTGGCGATACCATCGAGCATCATTTGTTCGCAGCTCTGCTGAAGAGCTGCTGCATAGAATCCCGCGAGAGCGCGAATTACCATCGTTGCGGGCGAACCGACAAAGGCGTCAGCTCGTTCTCGCAGGTGATCTCGTTGGACGTACGCAGTAAATTGGCACCAGAGGAGCAAGACAACTTGTCGGACGAGTTGCCCTATTGTAAAATGTTGAACAGATTGCTGCCAGCGAATATAAGGTGTACAGCATGGTGTCCTGTCTCGTCCAGTTTCTCCGCAAGATTTGACTGCAAGTTCAGAAGCTATAGGTATTTCTTTCCAAGGGGCAATTTAGATATAGAGGCTATGGACAGAGCTGTCAAGTATACCATAGGGGATCACGACTTTCGTAACATTTGTAAAATGGACGTAGCCAATGGTGTAGTTAACTTCAAAAGAACTGTAATTGATGCAAGAGTGAGCTTTGTTAATGATCAGAATGTGGAAAAGGCCACAGGTAATCTTCAATTTCTTCAGTTATTTATCATCTACATACTATCGATATACAACATACAGTAAATTTTCATTTTGAAGGCTATGATATGTGTGAATTGGAAATTACAAGTCAAGCCTTTCTGTGGCATCAGATCCGTTGTTTGATGGGCATCTTATTGTTGGTTGGACAGAGGAAAGAGGAGCCTGAAATAATCCTGAAGCTCTTGGATATTGAGACCTGCCCACAAAAGCCGCAGTACAATATGGCTCATCAAGTTCCATTGAATCTCTGGTATTGTGATTATGAAAGCGTAAATTGGTTTATCGACGAAAATGAATTATTAAACACTGTCAAAACGTTACAACAAGATTGGGCTCTCAGTACTATAAAGTACGTTTGATAAAAAAGAAATTTATGTAATTGTACACATGATCGATTTCTAATCAAGTTTCTTTTTTGTTACATATGTATGCAGATCTACAATGATAAAAAATATGTTGATGAAATTGGAAAATTGTGTTAATTGTGTAAATACTGATTTTCAAAGCGATTGCCTGCTTCTCGGAGTACAATCGAAAGTATATCAACCACTGATGAAACGAGAAATGTGTGGTAAGTGTACGATCGATTTTTATCAAAGCTAGTGAATATAAATTCGTCGATAAAGCCGAGATTTGATTTCAAACTTTTTTTAGTATGCTATCTAAAAATGTAAATGCTTTTACTTTATTACTTATCCATAATGTATTCTACGTTTATTAATTTCGAGACACCATGCAAACAAATACGTACACTGTTTTTCGTCTATTAATATGCTTTGTATTCGACTATAATACAGACATTCAAAATATTTTGATGATCATATATATCGTAATTTCACAATGTTCTTCTCTTTTTAATACTATACTAAACACAATGTCGCCGCGCTTGGACGTGTTCTATTACTTCGACACTACAATTTCCTAAATGTACATTCTATCAACAGTACAATTTAATGGATTAAGTTAAGCCTGTCCAAGATGTGATTTACGAGAAAAATGTTTCTCCTTGTCATCTTGATGAATGAGGTATGCGAGATGTGAGCGATGAAAGGGGGTAGATAATCAATATATGTAGACACGTGTTCGTTGTATCCATGCGTTGCAATCAATTAGTTATATGTCATTAAAGAAAAGGATAATTGAGAATGGGGATAAAGAGAGCGATTGCGCGAATTCGGATTGATGAACTTGGACAGGCTTATACTACGTATAATTCACATAGTACAAATTGAGAATTTCACTTATCTACGTGTATTTATAATCTATGCTATATTTTCTTTTACAGAGAGTTTGGAAAATAAAATCAAACATTACGAGAGGAAACGAAAATTTGAAGTCATACATACCGAGGTTACATAGCATATGCTTATGCTAATCACAGAACTTGTGTAATGTATTATACACGTACTAACAGTTTTAAATACACATATGTTTTTTTTACTGTAAATATTACATACAGCGTCTTAAATCTTCCCTATACGTGAGAGGGCTTTGTTCAGCCTTATTGTTCGTCAAATTTTGATAGCAATTAAGAATATTTCAAAAACATCAAATTTTACAGCAACGCTGCGTGAAATAAAGTGTCGATAGGCCTGGAATAATACACCCAAACAAAGCTCTTACAAAGCAGTAATTGGAATTTTTATATAATCTATGAAAATCAAAGTAGATCATTAAACGCGATGGATTTTTCTGTGCACAGCTTATAAGTACTTCTGAATACTTGTAATGTTATCGTAACTTTATCTGATCTTGGAAAATCTAACAGCGGTTATGCTAAACATTCAGGTTCTTAAAATGGTTATTTACAGAGAATGGAGCTAAAGAGCTATAAAGATGGAGCTGAAAAAGAGCTATATACATATAAGTAAAATGCGAAATTTAGTTTGGGCATTTAAATGTAATTGATGTAAACACTTTCTCTGCTGCTTTGATATGACTTTACTCGCGATAGCATTAAACATTGAAGTCGACATTGCCGCGAAAAATTGACTGTGAATGACTGCGATGGACGATTTAAAAAGAAAAATTACTAATCGATGTTTTTCGTTCATTTTTTTTCGGTTCTATCACAGGACGGCATGCATTTGAAACGAGTGTCAAAATTGCTTTCTTCCTCCGACGAATTTTCCTCATTATTTTTAGCCTCGCCATCTTCGTCCTCCTCTTCTAATTCATCCTGCTCTAAAAGTCGTCTCGCCATTTGTACAGCATGCCATTCTCGATAATGGCCCTTTCTTTTCGCCTCGAAGGCTCTCCTCCTTTCTAAAAAACGCGTCGACGGTCAACATTTTTTATTTATTATGGAGCTTATATATGGAGCTGAGATATGTGTGTCTTACCTTTTTCTTCGGGAGTTTCTTCATCTTCCTCCTCTTCACTGGATTCCTCGAAAATTTTGGGCTTGCTACCTCCAGCTAATCTGAATTTTAACAATCAAATAATATCAAATATTTTATATTTTTATTAGCATGCAACTGACATTACGTTTTTATATTAACAATTGAAATTATGAGACATGTAATCATTCTCTACTTACTTTGCTGCAAGAGCGCTAGCATCTAATTGATCAAACTCATGTTCATTTTGGAGGCCTTCGAAATTATATGGGGTTTTTGGTTCTTCGATCTTCATGTGGCCATAGTCCTTATCAGCAGGATGAAGAGTAGCGATAATATTCATCTCGTCCCATGTTGTTTCTTTGCTCGGTCTACAGTTTGATTAAAGTAAGGTAAATAAAAAAATGGTGTTCATCATCAAGTCTAAAAATAGAATCTGTGTCAACTAACACTGGGGTAATGTCAGTCATTTTATGTCTTAAGAATATATTCAGTTTTTTATTCTTGCAAGTTCTTATCTTCGTATTTAACAACTCCAGATAAGGGTATGTGCTTTAATCACGCTTTGATAAAAAAAAAAGAGGATGTTTTTGGAAAATATTTTTCGGAGAAATAGTCGCGAATTCGAGCGAATTACGTTTTTAAGGTGATGCTGAAGCAAGAAGCTGAATATCGAATCGAGCGCATGTGTCCCGAGAGAAAAAACTCGGCGATCATTTTTCTCTCACTCTCTCTCCGTCGCGGTCCGCGTGAAACTCGTGATTTATAAATACCGGATGATCCTGCCGCGCGTGACACGCCGAGTCACGCGAACCGCCTTTTAACGGCGACGAGAGACGCCGACAGGCGGGTTTTTGCACGCGCGTCTCTATTTTTACGCGAGCGTATCGAAATTCAATTAACGCGTCACACTCACCTAGGCGCCTCCGGATTGTCAAAACTGCTGGACGTCTTGAGGATTCCCTTGGAAGGCCGTTTCGACAGGTTCTCTGCCATTATATAGTCGGGCGTAATCACACGACGGTCACTCACGACGATAATGCCGCGGCTGCATGTTTACCAATGGATTTCGCTTCGGCGGAATAACCTGCCTGCGCTGCGCTGGGTGTCACTTGGTGTCACTCACTTATTCACTTGCACTCACTCGCGGCACATCCTCTCGCGCGTCTCTTCAGAAGCGATCTCCGCGTTACGGCAGACAGAGAGAGAAGCGTGAGAGAGGTCACGCCGGCTTTTAGGGTGGACCGACGATTCTCCTCCGTACACTAGCGCCTCACGTCCACGTTTCAAAAAAAGAACTACGTATCACGTACTATTTTATAACATTGTCGATCAAATCATAGCATTAGAACGTGGTTCGTATCCGTGCTAATCGTGTATTATACATATGTATGCCACATTTTCTTTCTTTTTCATCTTTCTTTTTCTTCCTATTTCTCGTAAAACTTCAAATTACATAAATTAATTATATATTTTTTTTAATTAAAGATTTTAATACAAGTATAATGTTAAAGCTGATATCATACAATTAGTATCGTCGTAATAATACATATATATAATATAATATATATAATTAAAAAGAATTGCCAGTGTAAAATTGCATTTTAAAACATTTATGCTTTTATAGGTTTTCATAAGAAATATCTAAGATAACTTTATCATTATTATTACACATCAGTTAGATTTATTACATACATATACATATAGCACGGAATAGAACCAAACAATATACATGACACGGAACAATATCGGAGACTGTGTCACTCGCCGGAAGTATTCGTAATCTGAGAGTGGACATGATTTTCGAATGCGCAATTTTTCGAGAATAAAGCCCCAGTAGTCGATCTCGAAGAATGGATGTAGCACGGGTATGAACCACATTCACGTTCTCGTGCTATGATTTGATCGACAGTGTTATAAAATAGACATGGTACGTAGTTCCTCTTTTGAAAACGTGGACGTGAGGCGTTAGTGTACGGGGGAGATCGCCGATCCTATCCAAAAAGCCGGCGTGGCCGCACTCACGCTTCTCTCTGCGTCAGGAAACGTGGAGAAATAGGAGACTGCGGACAGCGCGCTGTATCTTGTTTTAGAAAAAGATAGGTACCTCTGACGGGACTGTCTTCTCTCCCAAGCGTAAAAGTTAGAGGGAGACAAAGTAACTGACTACACGCGCCATGTGCGGTTAAGTTAGCGAACGCGGAGAGTGGCTTGGCCATATTTAGTTACGACGCCGACAATTCAAACCAACGCGTATAATCGCAAGAATTTGGCAGTAAGGTAATGTAATAAATCAATTTACAGACGTAATTTTTCGATTAAAGATAGATTTTACTCTCTGAGCAGATGTTAGATTGTAGTAATAATTATAGAATATATTGAATATTGTGGGATTTCAGGCTGGTTATGCGTCGTCGCGAGTGCCGTTCGAGAAATAAATGTCGCGCGTCTTTGTGGTACACGCGCGGTTTCGTATTGTAATCAATCGAAAGTGTCAAATTGTATGAAGAATGAAAGTAACTGCGAGGAAAAGTTGGAGGAAAAGGAAAAGGAGGAGAATTGGAAAGTACCGAGTGATAACGAAACGGTGAGTAATTTATCATATTACACACACACACACACACACACACACACACATATATATATATGAATACATATTGTTATTTGCGGAACAAATTATTTATTTCTTATTTCTTTGGATAATTTATCCTCTAATGAAACGAGAATTAGAACAGATTTTTGTCTATGAAACGCCAGAAGAACTTATATATATACTTTTCAGAAACTATAATTATTTCAGTAAATGTCTCTTTCAAATTAAAATATATATAATTAAAATTTAAAAGGTAACTGATTAAAATAAAAAATTGAATAATTTTTCAAAATATTACTTTGGCATTTGACTAATTAAATTAAATTAATTTAATTAAAATTTCAATTTAAGGTAATGAATCCGACTATAACTGTTTCCTCTGGAGTCTTAATGAAAGGATTTTAATAAAAATAAAGTCAGGAGTAATATTTTTTCAGTTTGTATATTAAGTATGAACAAATATGAACAACACTTACAACATAACATTATAGAATTACATTGTTAATTAAAGTTAAGTACAGTTGACGATACGTAGGTAGGCTTCAAGCCTCTCGATCGATTCTTTGGGTGTTGTTGCATGCTTACACGATTTGGAACAAGCATATTGGGTTTAGATGGAAAAACATTCGATATTTCGGGGATATGCTCTACGATTCGAGATTATAATAGCAAATAAGGTGATGCCGTTTTATTATAATGCACAGGATGTTATAATTTCTTGTAGTATCGTGTTAGCGATCGCATTCGCAACTATATTATAAAAATCTAAAAAAATTCGCGACGGTGTTGTCTACCGAGCACTTGGAGAGAGAGAAAGAGAGAGAGAGAGGCTAAACTCTCACGCGTGGAGAATCATCTCTTCAGACTCTTCTCTCCATTCAGATCCATGAGATCCTTTGGTTTGTTTTTCAAGCGGTCACTTCGCTCGCCGCACACTTGTCATACATTGCGTCTAAGACTTGTATAAACTTTAAGTGACGTTCTTCCGGTGCGACAGTGGCACCGCGACTGCCCCACAAGAACTTGATGTGAAATTCGGTGCGGAAGGCGTCCGATAGCAATTCGTCGCTCCTACAACCTTCCAAGACGATTTCCGCGTTCCTGCGAAAGAGCGGTAGACTGTCGGCTAGCTTGCGAGCCGCCTCAAGGTGCGACCAGACTATCGATAGGCCGCAATCAGATGCTGAATTCTCCCATGGTGAAAGAATCGCTGCCGTCAGTCCAAAAGGTGCCACAGTGCCTGTAATAAATTTTGCAAAATAAGGAAATCGTGTATA